ATAACTGCCTCTTCAGTATCTATAACTATTCCTCAGGTAAGAAAGGATCTCTTTTTGTCATGGATAAATGTTAATTTCTTTAGAATCTACATTTGCAATACTATTTCTCAGCCCATTTAATAAGCCTGCTCAGTATTTCTGAACATTTCAAGAAAACAGGGAAAGCATGAAAAAACAAGAGCAGTCTCATCTTAGGGATTTTTAGCTATGGCTCAGGTATCTTAAAATCATGGCAAAAACTAACCTCGGAGGCTTATCCAATAAGCTTCTTTAAAGCAGGTTATTTTATTTTATTTTATTTTTTTTTTTGAGACAGAGCCTCAAGCTGTCCCCCCGGGTAGAGTGCCGTGGCATCATGCTCACAGCAACCTCCAACTCCTGGGCTCAAGCGAGTCTCCTGCCTCCGCCTCCCAAGTAGCTGGGACAACAGGCGCCCGCCACAACGCCCGGCTATTTTTTGGTTGCAGCCATCATTGTTGTTTGGCGGGTCCGGACTGGGGATTCGAACCCACCACCTTAGGTGTACGTGGCTGGCGCCTTAGCCGGTTGAGCTATAGGCGCCGAGCCAAAGCAGGTTATTTAGAAACTTATTACCAGCTTTATTATCTGAGTATTCCATATGGCCATATCGGTTATAGTAAAAGGATACTGGTAGACAAAGGGAACAGTACTTTTTATTGAGAGTTTGGCAAACTATGGACTGCTGCCAAACCTAGCCTTCTACCTGTTTTGTAAATGAAGTTTTATTAGATACATATTCATTCATTTCTGTAACGTCTCTGGCTGCTTTCCAGCTACAACAGCAGAGTTAAGTGGCTCTTTATGTTTAAAGTTTGTCAACCACTGTAGAGGATGCTAGGTAACCCCTGAACGTGATGAGGGTTATAGTACTATCTGCAATTTATGCTCATTATTAAGTCATAGTTTTAGGAAAGAGATTAGTAATAATTTTAATCATAAAACCTTATGTTAGATATGTGTCTAGTACTTTGTGTTTTGTAATGCACTTTTTGCATATTTCGTATCTATGGTCCTAATAACAATTCTGAGTTATTATTACCATTTTACAGATGGAAACTGAGACTAGTAAGTTAAGTGGTAGATCTTTTGCATTTAAACCCATGCCTTTTGAATGATAACACAAGATATTTCCTCCAACCCACGTAAGTCACTACAAAAGTTTTGAGACAGACAGTGTTATGGTTCATTATTTCACTTCTAAGAAACACAGTTGACAGCTGGGAGGGCTTCATTTATTTCCATCCATGCATATTTTAGATGCTTCTTGATTTTTGTGTATCTCACAACCTTTATAATGGCCCACATAGTTCTGTTCTGGTAAGAAACGTTACAGAAACATTTTAAAGGGTGGTATTTAGAAAGCTAATTGTAAGAGCACTCTAAAGTCCTGCCTGTCCTAGATTCGATCCAATGAAAACACCTGCATTACAAACTAGATTGAAATATCTCTGGCCACAATTCAGAAACATCTGTTTTCTTTTCCTAGATTTAAAAGAAACAGAAAATCTAAACGGCAATTAGAGGATTATAAAAGAATTGTTAAGCGGTCAACAACATAGGTCCTTAGGGAAATGAAAATCAAGATCACAATGAGATACCACTTCACATCCACTAAAACGCTAAAATAAAAAAAGATAACATCTAACAAGTGTTGGTGAAGGTGTGAAGAAATGGAACCCTCTTAATTGCTGGTGTGACTATAAAATGGTGCAGCCACTTTGGAAAGCAGATTGGCAATTCCTCACAATGTTACACATAAGGTTATTATGTGACCTATTACAGTAGAATCTCCATAGTTGACCAACTTACCACATTGACCACTTCTTTAAGTGGACCGATTTCACAGACCAGACACACACCACCCGTATGTATCAATACAGCAGGCCTACTTTCTTATGTTGACCACCTCCATACGTTGACAGGTTTGTTATAGTCCTTTGCTTGGTAAACTTACCGAGGTTCTCTTGTAATTCTACTTCTAGGTATAAAACTCAAGAGAACTGACAAACGTGTCTACCTACAAATCTATACACTAAAACTGTGAACGTACCAAATGTCACTGAATTTTCACTTTAAAGTGGCTAATTTTATTAAAAAGCTAAAGGAAAAATCTATATGCTAATATTTATAGTAGTATCATTCCTAACAGCCAAAAAGTGAAACTGACTCAAATGTCCCTGTGAGTAAACAAATGTAATATAATGCAAAATCATTTAGTACTTTTAAAAAGGAATGAAGTACTGATATATGCTAAAACATTATGCCAAGTAAAAAAGGCCAGACACAGACAACTACATATTATGTGATTCCATGCATATGAAATGTCTAAAAAATCAAATCTATCAAGACTGAAATAAGAGTAAAGGCTTGGTGCTCAAAGCTCAGTGGTTAGGGCACCGGCCACATACATTGGGGCCTGCAGGTTTGAACCTGACCTGGGCCTGCTAAACAACAATGGCAATTACCACAAAAAAATAGCCGGGCATTGTGGCAGGCACCTGTAGTCCCAGCTACTTGGGAGGCTGAGGCAAGAGAATCCCTTAAGCCCAGGAGTTTGAGGTTGCTGTGAGCTGTGACGCTATAGCACTCTACAGAGGGCAACACATTAAGACTCTGTCTCAAAAAAAAAAAAAAAATCCTTGCCTCAGGATTTTTTCAAGTGATTAGAAAGTACAGAGGGCATCCTTTGTTCTTTGTACCACAAGAGATGGCTCAAGGGAATTGTCCTTAGAAGTCAGGAGATTGTCTTAGCAGAAGACCCCAATGAATCACAACTATCAACTATAAGCAATAGCCCGAAGGTGAAAACCTCCCCTCACTTTGTATTTCTGCTCAAAGGCAGGGTGTTGGTCCTTTAAGACAGGAGTCTCTCAACATCTTTACTTACTGGCAAATTAATAAACTTCTCTTTATTTCTCCTCAAACCACTAGTTCTCATTTTTCTAATGGGGCCTAAGGGACAGTGCTGAACCGTCAGTAACAGTACTGGGAGTGTGGTAGTTCATAACTCTATGAATATATTAAAAATCATTGACATGTACATCTACTCTTTTATGGTATATATTCTACTCAGTAAACAAAACAAAAAGAAAAGGGGTCCATAGCCAGACAAATATCCAGAGCTACAGATCCTCAATCTTTACATATTTCAAAAGTGATCAATTATATCATATCAAACTTTTCATGAGCAAAAGCAAGGGAAATTTAAAATTAACTGGAAAGAAATATGAATTAGAGTGTATGTCACTGCTAATCAGAAGTTCTAAATGCAACTGGTTATAACCATAGTCTGTCTTTTGTCTTTTCATGACCCTCATCTGATGAGAACTAAGAATCTGAGCAGCCTGAGCCTGGGAGAAGCAAGTCTATCAGACAGAGCAGTGCATTCGAAGGACCCTGTAAACTGCTGCACCAGAAAAACCAGAGTCCAAGTTTTCATTTTTCAGCCTGTAGTCACGTCATCACCGCAATCAGTACAACAGAGTATTTATGGACTGATTTACATATGGAGCCAGTCTTATCTCAGGCGACCATGTTGTCTGCATCAACATAAGATAAAAAAACTGTGCTAAGGCAGGAGTGCATAGTTTAAATGTAGTTCTCCATGTATTCGATAAAGTCCCCACTTGGTCAAATGAAGCTTCATGTTTTTTCTCTGTAAATGTGGTGTTTATTTTATGGTGCAGCAAAGGCAGGCATCGAAGGGTTGGTCTTTGCATCTGATTCTAGGCAGATGGTGCTGTTAAAAGATAGGTACTTAAGTACTTTGATAATTTATGGGAATAGTAGGTACTTTTCAGTCTGCTTGAAACTAGAATGAGATACCTTGTCTGTTATCTAAGCTCTACTCTAAGTAAGGTCATTTTTGGTTACAGCGATTTGTTAGACAAGACAGATATGATTCAAATGAAGGACCTGTCACTGTGAGTTTCACTTCTGTTCATCTGATAACAGGCTTTGCTGGGTGTGTGCTTATCTGTGGAGAAGAATTTCCTAGGGCGAGGCTCTTGGAGTTGCCCATTTAATGCCATCTTTCTCTTTCAAGAGAATTGTTTTATCTTTAACGGAATTCCTTGGGGAAAGTCTGACTCAGAGAAAATGGTTTAAGGTATCTGTATTTTCTTAATTCTGAGGCAGGAAAAGAATGCTGAAGAGATTGTAGGGACCAAAACTATCAAAACCAGTAACAAACTGTAGGCTAGAAAACTCAGAACAATAAACTTCCCCCTCTAATTTGGTGTGTTAACCCCAAACTACTATCTGGACTATAAATCCCTTGAGATTAGGGATTATATCTTTTTTGTTTTTGTATTCTTGGTACCTAATACAATGTCAATGCCTCAGTAAATGTTGAAATAAAAAAATGAATACATGTATGATTAATCATGTGCCCTTCTTTTGTTCCTCCTCTTCAGCCTTAGGAATGTTGAGAGAGGGAAGCTGATGCTATAGGGTTCTTAAAAGTTTTGAAACTACTGGGAGAAAAACTGGGATTAAATTATATTTGGAGAGAGTACAGGATGTACCTTCAAGGAAGGTTATCTTTGGTTCCAGATAAATAATTTGAAAATCACAGCACTAGGAATATTAAAGTTTTCATGAAAACAATCATAAAAGATTGAAAGAGTAACTGCTCTCAGTGATTTTTTAATGCTACAACATGATTATCCTCAGGAGATAATAGGTCATATATGAAGCACACACGTGTATGTGTATATTACACGCCTTTCCTAAATGATTATACACATGCATTTCCTGGAAAGCTTAGTAATCTGTTAAATTGGGAGATGGCCGATGAAGTTCTCTTTCTAAAAGCCTAGGAAGAACAGGCCATACATTTTAGGAGATGGACCAACTCCGTAGCAAAATAATTTCAGAAAGCAGGAACTACACTGAAGAAAACCACTAGTTTCATACAGACAGTGTGAAGGAAAAGTCTGTTAGAGATAGGGAAAAAAGGCTCCATCTTCCCTAATTACCTTAAAAATGTGTGCTTTGAGGATGTGATGTCCCAGTTCAATAGTCTGCTGTCGGTTTAGTTTTCCCTCTTGGCGGGAAAACCAGAAGGCAAGTAATGTGTGACCACTCCTGTAAAGAAAGAGAGACTCATTTTAGAAATGTTAATGCTCTAATTCTACTTTGGGTGGTGGACTGTTCAGACCCAGCCATACTTCAAACCAAACTCTCATTCAGTTTCTTGGGGAGGGGTACCTGCTACTGGACAAATAAATAATGGATAATAAAAGTTTCCTAGGCTGGGCATGGTGGCTCATGCCTGTAATCCTAGCACTCTGGAAGGCTGAGGTGGGTGGATTGCATAAGCTTGGTAGTTCGAGACCAGCCTGAGCAAGAGAGAGACCCTGTCTCTAAAAAATAGCCAGACGTTATGGTGGGCGCCTGTAGTCGTAGCTACTCAGGAGGCTGAGGCAAGAAGATTACTTGAGCCCAAGAGTTTGAGATTGTTGTGAGCTATGATAGCACAGCACTCTAGAGAGGGTGACAAAGTGAAACTCTTGTCTCACCAAAAAAAAAAAAAAAGTTTCCTAGGGTCAGGAGCCATAATTCATGTCTGTAATCCCAGTACTTTGGAAGGCCAAAGCAGGAGGATTGCTTGAGGTCAGGAGTTTGTAGTTTGATACCAAGCTCAGCAATAAAGTGAAACCCCATTTCTTTTCTTTTCTTTTTTTTGAGATAGTCTCATTATGTTGCCCTTGGTAGAATGCAGTGGCATCACAGCTCACAGCAACCTCTAACTTGTGGGCTTAAGTGATTCTCTTGCTTCAGCCTCCCAAGTACCTGGTACTATAGGTGGGCACCACAATGCCCAGCTATTTTTTGTTGCAGCTATAATTGTTTTCTAGCTGGCCTAGGGCTGGGTTCGAACCCGCCATCCTTGGTGTATGTGGCTGGTGCTGTAACCACTGTGCTGTGGGCGCTGACCAGAAAACCCATTTCTAAAAAAATAGCCATGTATGGTGGCATGCACCTAGCTACTTAGGAGGCTGAAGAGGGAGGTTTGCTTGAGCCCAGGAGTTGGAAGCTGCTGTGAGCTATGATCATGTCATTGTACTCCAGCTTGTGTGATAGACTGAGACCCCATTAAAAAAAAAGTTCTCAGGCAGTCCTTTTCCCAAATTATATGTATGAATATCACAAAATGTCATGTCAGATTGGCTTACACCCATTCTACACACAGATGACACAAAAAGATTTTCATTTTCTGTCTCTGCCAGCAACTCTAATTTCACCCATGTGCAAATGTCAAAATTCCTCAGAGTCTCATTCTTAGTCCTAGTCTGTTCTTGTTCTGGATTAGCTCATCTATCCTCAAAGGCTTTACCACCACCTATATCCTGTATCTTTTTCCTCTATCCAGACTTCTCTTCTCAGCCTTATACCAGTATATGAATATATCCAACTGTCTATTGATTTCCCCATTTGAGGTCTCACAGTAAGTACTTCAAACTCAACATGTCTCAGACTGTCTTAATTTCTTCCTCAAAAATCTACCAAGCGTCTATCCATTCCTTACAGCTGAGGAGAGTGGAGTACTTTTTTTATGGTGCCACCAGTATAGATTGTGCATTCCTCTAGTTTTGTAGTTATACAGTCACATGCTTTCTCCTCGATGGCATCCATTCCCTGTATTTCCATGCTAACAGATCCCCAGTCTGTTAATTGAAGAGAAAGCTCTATTTTTCTTTCTTTTTTGTTTTTTGCCTCTAGACCATGTTCTATCTGACCAAGATGCCTACAATTGCCTTGGCCCTTTCATAAATCATGTGGTTAACTGGTCTGAGGATAAAGCCAACAGGAGGGCTAGGATAAAATAATTGAACCCTATTAGCTGCCCTAATTTTGGACTTCTTACTACATGAAGTAATACGTTTCCTTTTCTTTCTTTCTTTTTTTTTTTTTTTTTGAGACTGGGTCTCCTGGGCTAGAGAGCCATGGCCTCAGCCTAGTTCACAATAACCTCAAACTCCTGGGCTTAAGCAACCTATTGCCTCAGCTTCCTAAGTAGCTGGGACTATAGGTGCTTACCACAATGCCCAGCAGATTTTTCTATTTTTAGTACAGACAGAGGTCTTGCTTTGCTCAGGCTGGTCTTCAACTCCTGAGCTCAAGGGCTCTACTCACATAGGTCTGCCAGAGTGCTAAGATTATAGGCATGAATCACCACACTTGGCCCTACTTTTATTTTTTGTTTAATTCATTTGAATTGGAATTTGTTTCTTCCAGAGCTCAAAGCATCCTAATGATATACTTAAGAATGTATATGTATATATGTATGGCTGTAGGTCTGTGTATGTATATGTTTCATATATGTATAAGGTTATATATATTTCTATTTATGAAAATAAACCTGAATTACTTATATTCTTCATAATATCTAACACAGCCTCTTGAATATAAAAATGCTCAATAAAAATTTTTAGAAGAAAAAGTCTGACATTAGGGGAAAGATACTATAGCCTCTAAGCATTGAGGGTATTTAGAACTGTGTCATTACTGCCCACCAGGTTGTAGTTAGGAGACTTCTTCATGCTACTGGTAACACAACTCTTCTACTTTTTCCAGTTACAGTGTCACAGAAGAGGGAAATGGAACCGTTCTCAGTTTCAAGTCTAATGAAGTAATCAAGCAGAAGAAAAGGTAGTAAGTGAATTTTTGCTGGTGAGAGAGAGATCCAATGTCTACTGAATGATCTTCTCTCATATTGAATACTAACTACTTAGCCAAGTTTAATCTGAAGACATCTCATACTGAAGTATGAAAAACAAACACACTTTTAATTTCTTTTCTTTTTTTTTTTAAGCTTCAGTAAAGAAATTGGAGAATAGTGGGTGGGATAGACAGTTCTCATTTTTACATAGGAATCATCTTATACAGATTTCATTCCAAGAAGATTTTAAACAGAAACTCTGACTTTTGGCTTCAGAGAATTTCTAAATTGTAGGGAATACGAAGTTACCTTGCTTGACTAAACAAACTTACCCATAATTGAAAAGAAGTTATTTAATTGGGAGAATGTCTCAGACAAGTGAGCCAGCATGGAATCATCACTATCATCTGAAGGTCTGAGCCCAGTGTTGTTTTGTACAACTGCAGAAATCTGAAAATTGCCACTGAACTTTTATTTATCCCATGAAAGCTCAGTTTGGTTGAGAGGCTATTATAATAAAGCATAGGGAAGTTACACAATAATAAGAAGCTTTTATTAAGTGCCCTAATTCTCAAGCTCTCAAATGTCCATCTAACTACTAACAGTGAAATTATTGTAGCTTCCCTGGTGTAAGAATTATTACTTTAAAAGATTCATGCATGATTGTACAATAGTGACTAGAACTCTTAAATATACTCTGATCTAGGCCTACCTGTGCTTTAGACCATTAAAGAGAATCCATGCCTATTAACATTTAATGTAAAAAGCTTGTGTCTGACAAGGAAATGAGCTTTCAGTTACACACAGAAATGACTTTGCCCTAGTGTTTTCATTTTACTACTATAACTAAGAAATCCTGGTAAGATGTTTACATTTTTCTTTTCTTTTTTTTGTAGAGATAGAGTTTCACTTTATTGCCCACAGTAGAGTGCAGTGGCGTCACACAGCTCACAGCAACCTCCAACTCCTGGGCTTAGACGATTCCCTTGCCTCAGCCTCCTGAGCAGCTGGGACTACAGGCGCCCGCCACAACACCTGGCTATATTTTTGTTGCAGTTTGGCTGGGGTCGGGCTTGAACCTACCACCCTTGGTATATGGGGCCGGCACCCTGCCCACTGAGCCACAGGTACTGCCCTACATTTTTCTAGTAAACATTTTTCTTGCTTTTTTTTTGTTGGTCAGGCACTGAAGAGAAACAGCAAGCAATGCAGGTCAAGGATAAGATGAAGGTGACAAGAGTTGTCAACCTTGACCTGTATTCATTCCTTTTTCAATACACTCCTGCTACATTATTCATAAAAGAATGGCTCTGGTAGATACTATAATGTTTATATTTATACACAGGATATGAAAGAAGAAAATCCTCTGATTCAAAATAAAGAAATGCAGACTTGGCTTGGCGCCTGTGGCTCAAGTGGGTAAGGCGCCAGCCACATACACCTAAGGTGGTGGGTTCGAATCCAGCCTGGGCCCGCCAAACAACAATGATGGCTGCAACCAAAAAATAGCCAGGCGTTGTGGCGGGTGCCTGTGGTCCTAGCTACTTGGGAGGCTGAGGCGGGAGACTTGCTTGAGCCCAGGAGTTGGAGGTTGATGTGAGCTGTGATGCCACAGCACTCTACCCAGGGGGAAAGCTTGAGGCTCTGTCTCAAAAAAAAAAAAAGAAAAAAAAGAAATGCAGACTTACAAAAAAAAAAAAAAAAGAATGGTTCTTATCAGTTCATTGGATTCAAAGCTTGTGGTGTGTAGGACACAAGAGAAGCAGCTTACATTATATACTGGCTCTCACTGTACCATCTTGAGTGCTGAGATTTAGTTTTGCTTCTCTGCCTGCTGGATCTCTCTACCTCTATCACTATCATAGGAAGTTGGTGCTTTCCTTGAAAACCTCCTTGAGACTTCTTTATTTTTAAAATATTGCCAGCCCCATCAGGCATAAAACCTAGTAGTTTTTTTTCCTCTCTGTACTTTCTCACCTGAATAATTCTAAGAGTCTCATTCTCTCCATTCTATTCTCCACTGCCTGTTCCCTAGCCCCTCCCCAAAATCTACATTACAGAAACCTAATCAAAATTCTGCTCAAAGTTCTTTAGGCTTTATATTTCCTCTTATACATAATTTAAACTCTTTAGCATGGTTTTCAAAAGTTTTCTAGAATTTTTCTCTTGTCTATTTGTCTTTATCGCCTCATACTTTATCTCTTTATACTTTCAATTCCAGGTGGAGAAAATTATTTGTAGGGTTTCAAACATGCTTTCCCTCTTTTTGGAGTTCTGTTTCCTGTTTAGTTCATCAGGAAAACTATTTCTCCTTCTTTGAATCTCAGTTCACACCATCGCCTTTGTGAAGCTTTCCTGGTGCCCTGATAGACTCAGGGCTTCTTTCCTTAGGTAACTGTAGTAGCTGGCATACATCTCCCTT